CACCCTGAGGGGTTGCAGCTTCTGCAACCGACAACCGCGTGCTCTGGTTCACACCACCTAAGAGCTGTACTTGCAGCAAGAAAAGCCAGTGCGTGATAATTTATATTAAACTGCTGGCTCCACGCACAAGGCACAGGCTACAAGGCTGCCACAAGGCACAGGCCACACGGCCGCCGCAAGGTACAGGCCACACAGCCGCCCGCCGCAAGGCACAGGCCGCGGCTAAGGAAGGGAGGGCTCGTGCCAAGCCGAACTCGAGCGGGGAAAGGAGAGGTCCTAAAAGCCAAACGTTCGGGCGCCAGATGAAGGCGTAAGTCACGAACAAGGCAACACCAGTTTGGAGTTATGATTAATAGGGTGTTATTTATTTAAAGGGGAAAAAACTTACAGATCACAATCCCAGACAACAGCCATCTGCGCAACCAGGAAGGGAGTCTTGTCTCCAGCCGAGCAGGAAGAGAAGAGAGTGAGCAGAGGAAATAGCCGCTTTTTTAAAGGGAGTGAGACCACGCCCCAATGGGCTGGTATCACAGCAGCTATTGGTTGGAGGGGCGGAAAGACCTCCCGCAACAACAGTCAAACTTTTAGCTGACTCTCTGCCTAATCTGCTCTGACTCACAAACTCTTAGGAAGCATGTGGCATCCTTAGAGACTCTGGAAGGAGCTTTGAGAATGCAGCAAATATGGATATCAGAGACATTTTCCCGGACATCTCCTAGCTCTTGCCAGAGGCTTGGGGATGCTGGTTGGAGTGTATGAGTCTTTATAGTAATAAAGTTTTATGCAAGGAATGACTTGTCAAAAATGAAGATCTGACTCACCTGTATCAAGTTTGTCAAGAATTCACTGGCGAGCCCTTCTTTCCCTGTGTGTCCTTTCTCAGGAGACAGTGGGTACAGAGAAGACTGAACTGGGGGAGAAGAAATAAATTATGAGAATCTTGGACATCCTGAGATGATCTGAGGTTTACTTATCCACCAGAGACAGAGAAAATACCACTACCCACACCTATGGCATGCATACTCACATGCACACACATAGCATGTTCTTTTACCCCTCCCTGCACAAATACTTAGTCACAGCTTTCATAAGCATGGCATAACCTTGTCTCTACTTAGCTAAGATACAGGGCTAAGACCACCTATGAGGAAAATAACATTTATTCCGGGAACAATTAAAGGTAAAATTCAAAAGAGACCATACAATCATCATGAAGTTGACAGATCCAAAACCCAGCAGCTACATCGTGTCCAAGAGCTATCACATCCATGGACCACTGGGCTTCAGTCTTGCCTTTCCTGCTAGGCCTGAGCTTCCTCAAGGACTACCCAGTCTCTACCACTTTCTGAACTGTAGGCTTAGGGGACTATGAATCTTCCTGTATGGGCTGCTAGGACCTCGTGACTTACCATATATCAGAGGAATGACAGTTGCTGCCATCCTGACTCCAACAGCAGAGCTTCCGAACAGGATACAATAAATGGGCCAGATATCCTTCTGACTCCCACAGACACCAAAGGCAGCTCTATGGAATCAACAGAAGAGAGGAAGGCTCCACAACCACTCTCCTTTCCAGGGGTTTTGAGGACGAGTCTTTTACAGCTTGTCCATCTTGGTCTTCTTCAAAATGCACATTCTGTCTCCCACATTGGACCTTTATTCTGCTTTATTTTTGTTTGTCAAGGAGGGGGGGATCTGTTTTCCTTCTGCTTTCACATCACCATCAATAAGAATTCTCCCTGTTTAAAGCAACACAGCAATTCCGAAGTCTTCACCAGCCGAAAGTCTACTGATTCAATCCAATTCTGGCACAACCTTCTTGAATATACTCAGACTTGAATACTCACAGACTGCAGGCTCAGCTCCCAGAGTGCCCCTGTGCCCCAATTTTAGTTGCCAGTCCTCAGTGGGGTTCCCTATGCTCTTGATCCAGTGGCTGAAACATGAAAAGGGGTTTTAAAAAACTTGCAGGAATGCTGCCTGAGGCACTTGGAAGTGCTCAGCTCCAGAACAGCAGGAGAATGATGTTTCTAGGTCATCTGAAGCCACTGTTTATAGTGATCGGGATTTCAGGCACTATTAGCTTACAGCCCAATTGCTTCTCCTTTAAAAAACGGCTCTGCTGTCCCCTTAGACGCAGTTCTCAATCGTCTCATCTCTGCTGTCTTTTCTGTTAGAATGTACATTCCATGGAGACAGGACAAAGCCTGTTTTGGGCCTCATGCATCAGGCCAAGGCCCAGCTCATGAGAGTGACCAACTGTCCTAGACTCCCTAATCTGCTCTGACTCTCTAATGTCCTCTGTCCTAGAAAACTCCTCAGCCTGAATAAAACTTGTGTAATAATGAATATCAATTACATAATAATAGAATATTCCCTTAATATGATTTCAGGAATGCTTAAAAAAAAAGGCAGGTGCAGGCTCAGCTGTAGAGCATTTGCCTAACCTGTCCAAGACAAGTGTTTGATCCTCAGCACTGGATAAAAGAAATCAAGCACATATAGCTAATAAATATCTTCTATATTATAAAAGATCATACTGCTGTTTCAGAAACGTTAAATTCCTATCATGAGGCAAGGTAAAAAGAACAGCCCTGTATCTTACTCTTTAGTCTGAAAGTTGTTCTTTGATACTCTTCCAAATGTTTTCAATCCTCTCAACATTTCGTAGCTAGTCTATTCAGTTTTAGATTTCTGTTACTAACATAAGGAAACACAAAACTTCCTCTTCATGCATGCCCCTTTATTCTGAACCCTCATGAAGATGCAGAGATTTTTAGAAGTCTCAGGGAACGAGCATGAATACTACTGAGTAGCTCTAGCATTTACTGGGAAGGCTTGTAGGTGCTAAAATACATAGAAATAGCTCATCAATTCATACTTAATAAAACCCTGAAAATTGCGGTGCTGAGGTACACAAGAAAATTCTGCATTTATGAGATTATTCATATTCATCGTTAGTTACATTTGTGTAATTTGCATTCAACTACATTACTTATTACACACCCTAGCATCCATCCCTTGAATATAACCCACCAAATATTAATACAGCATCTTGAGATAACCCTCATTCTTAAGTGGTTGCATCCTTAGAGTCACACAACCTGTTACAAGCAAAAGAAAAGTCCTGTGGAAGTTCCATACTGCAGGGTGGGCAGGAACTCTATTGCTTCACGTTCCACATCCTGTTCACCTGGTGACACAAAATTTCTAGACTAATGAGGACAGGTGTTCACTGAGGCGTTTTCAACACCACACTGAGGTTTCAACACAAATCTGAGTTTGAGAATGATGGGATTTATTATTTATTTATTGTCTAAAAAGACTAAAAAACGGCAAAAAAAATCGATTCTGAGCCCTTTTACAGCTAGTACTAAAGTTGTGACAGAAAAAAAGAAGACTCCATCACCCGCCCTTCACGTATATTTACAGATTTAACATGTAATAAAGAGCCCAGCTTATGGCTGCAGAAATAGAATTACCTGATCTCTATGCAGGCTCAAGCTCAAAAGGGCAGGCAGAAGATGAAACGATTTGTCAGTTTAATGGCACAATTTATTTGACTGGAGAGCAATCTTCCGGTGACTCCATGGACGGTAAACATGCCTTGTAGCTTAGAAGGCCTCAAAGTGACGGAGCTGAAGAATTCCCACTCTAGCACTACTGCTAATTTGGTCTGCTTGCTGCTTGCAGAGCAGGACACAGAACAGTCCCGAGCCTCCTGCCACCCCGCCTCATTCTGTGAGAAGAAAAAGCATCTCCAGAACTGAGAGGTGGAAGTGCTTGAGGTGTCTGGGCTGCTGAAAGAGCAGGAGGCCTCCTGGCCGAGAAAGCTGCCAATCAGCGCTCCTCCTCCACCCGACCAAAACCGGCCTAGCACACCCTACACCGCCCCGCCCAGCAGCCCACCCGCAGCAGCGACACCCGCACCAGCTCCGGGAGCCCACGCGCTTCCACTTCCGCCCTGGGCGCGCGCTTCTCTGCTCATTTCCGCCCAAAAGTTCGTCAGGGATTCGGGGCGGGGTTAGTGGGTAGATTTCGCGTCCGTGGAGCCTTCCCAGTTTGCTTAGTGACTTTGGGATAGGTGAGCCAAGGAGACCATGGGCGGCTCCAGCAGCAGAGGCTGTGGGAGGAAACCGGGCTGTGGGAGCAGCCAAGCTTGCAAGCCCGTTAGGTGATAACGGGAAATAGTTGGGTGGGCATAGGCTATGGTGCGGATTAGTTCTGGGCCGGATGATGGGTGGATAAAGCCGGGAGTGAACTGAGTTGACTGTGGGTGGTCAATGGTGGTGTGGGGTGTGAGGTTGGATTGCTACTGTCCCTTGGAGTCAGAGAGGCTAGTTGCAGGGATGGGAATATGGTTGGGTATAGGTAATGCGGGGCTGTGAGTCCTATGGTTCTTGGTAGGGTAAGAGATCAGACCCAGGGGTGGTACTGCAGGACCATGAATGAAGCTGTGTAAGGAGAATTCTGGTTGCTTGTGAGAAAAGAGAACAGGACAAGACTCTTGGAACTCAGCCGTCCAAGCACAAAATTGTTTGCAGAATGTACTTTTGTGCCCCTCCCAGGCGTAGTATATAGGAGTGGGTTTACTTTAGATTATTTTACTATTCAGACGATGTTTCCAAGCTCAGATTGTCCTCATGATTGGCTACACCAGTGGTTCTCAACCTATGGGTCACGACCCCTCGTGGGGGGGTTGAAGGACCCTTTTACGTGGGTCTCTTAAAACCATTGGAAAACACAGATATTTACAGTATGAGTCATAACAGTAGCAAAATTACACAAAGTTGCAAAGGAAATAATTTTATGGTTGGGGAGGTCACCGCAATATGAGGAACTGTATTAAAAGATCACAGCATTAGGAAGCTTGAGAACCACTGGTATACAGCCTAAATACACGTGAACATGCTTTGCCCTTGTGACTGTTTAAACTTGAATTCATACAAACTTTGCTCACATGATGTCCTGAATAAAGCTGGCTATTGCATGAGACTTCACTCTGCCTCATTTTTAGGCTCCATTCTCACTTACCAGGAACCTTTCTTCAGTCTATTCTCCATGATTATACAGCCTGCCAGAATTGCATTGTACATATTTCTCTGCATCTTGCTTCTTGAAGGCCAACACTATTTACATATATCTATATAATGAATTGTGATAAAGCAATTGCAGGCATGATCAGAAAACTTTTTAGCATGAACACTGGGTAGGGATGACCTTAATTGCTGGAGCTTTCTGGGATGAAGGAGGAGGGTTATTATATTTAGAACAAGTGATTGTTATAGTTCTGATGTTTTGAAGAACTTCCTTACTGATTCCCATAGTGGATTTTACATGCTCAGAAACAGTGTATAAGATTTTATTCACTCTGTATCCTTAACAATATGTTTTATTTTCTTGATGAAAGGCGTACTAACTGAGCAAGATAAAAGCTCCTTCTATACTACTGGGTATATACTAGAAAGAGTATTCTAGTTCACTTTTCCCTGCTGTGATAAAACATTCTGACAAAAAAGCCACTAGAGTAGGAAAGGATTTATTGAGCTTACACATCCTGACTTCAGTCCATCACTGAGAGAAGTCTGGGCAGGAATTGAAACATGAGGTATGGAGGAACACTGCTTAGGTTGCCCAGCCCACACTGTCACACTGCCCACAGTAGTATGGACTCTCCCATGTCAATCATAAATGATAAAGCACCCCACAGACTTGTCTCCTGGCCAATCTGATGGAGGCATTTTCTCAGCTGAGTTTTCATCTTCACAGATAACTCTAGCTTGTGTCAACTTGACAAAAACGTTATCAACTTGCCATAGATATATCTGCATACTCATGCCTGTTACTTCATCCTTCACAATAGCTATGGTGTACCAGCCTGTATACGCATTAACAGAGGAATGGGTTAAATGTGGTAAAAATATACAGTGGGATTCTGTAGAGCCATAAAGAATATGTCATTTGCAAAAAAGAATGGACAAGGAGGGATCATTTTACTAAATAATCATATTAAGTGAAATAAACCAGTCTCACAAAGAAAAATATTCTGTGTTTTCTGTCACACATGGAATCTAGGGGGAAATATAGTAAGGAATGTCATAAGCCCATTCATTTGTGCAATTAACATGTTAATTTAAAAGTACATTGTATTTATTGTGTGTGTCTGCGTGCAGAGGTCAGAGGACATTCTGTGGGTTTCAGTCCTCTCCTTACACCATACGGGTCCCAGGGATAGAACTTATGTGGTGAGGTTCAGAAACAAGTGCCCTTACCCACTGAGCTATCTTTCAGGCCCAATATACTCTAATTTGATAAAACAGAGTTTTTATGCAAGACAGACTAATCCTAGACTGTGTTGGGGGGATCATTGCCTCAACCTTGTTATATATAGACATTTCACATTCTGTATTCTCTTAACTCAAATGAATTTATCTTGAATTTATTCTGTTCCCAGGGATGAAATCAAGAACCAGAATGCTGAGTGTGGGCAGCAGGGCTGACTGGAGGCAGGACGTCGACTTCAGTTTCCAGGCACAGATGGAGATCTGTTCTTCCTTCCATGTGTACTGCAATCATCTGTGTGCTAGGAGATACTCTGCAAGTGATCAGAGTGGAGGCCCTTTCAGGGACCAACGTGGGCCATGAGTTGCCAGCAGTTTCACACTGTACAGTGTAAAATTATGTGTGGCTGGAATAGGAATCAGCCGTAAACAGCAAAGGAATTCTGACATACAGTACAACATGAACGAAACATTTTGTTGAGGAAGGTATGCCAGTGCTGAAGGATAAATGCTATCTGTTTCTACATACAGCCCTCGCTAATACAGCCAAATTTATAGAAGTAGAAGTAGGAGGGTGGATGCCCTAGCCTGGGAAGAGGGATAAAAAGTTAGTGTGCAGTAGGAAAAGAGTTTCCTGTTTCTGAAATGACAGTTCTTGAGATGAATGGTGGTGATGGTTACACAACTACATGAAGAGAGTATTACCTCTGGGCTAGACACTGAAGGGTGAGTCAGACAGTATTTATGTTTTGTAGGTCTTATGATATTTTTAAAGCAAAAATATAATCTGTAGCTACTCTGAGATTGCATTGTTTTCTTTCTGTTTATGAATGTCCTTTCTCTTCCTCCACCTCCTCTTCCTACTCTCCTTGTTCCTCTTCCTCCTCCATCTGCTCTTCCTCAGTCTCCATCTTCTTTCCTCCCATTCTATTTACAATTTTTGTCTTCATTTCTTCTTTCTGTTATTTATTTCTCAGTGACTGTCTGCTCTCTCTTTGCCCCTCTTTCCTCCCTTCTCGTTTGTTTCTCTCATCTGTGTTTTGTCTCTCACCGGCCCCCAGTTATATTGCCCAATTATTTCCGTTCTTGTAGAAAACCCCAGTTTTTGCCCTTGTTTCTGTACTCTGTATCCATTTTGTTACCAGAGGGAGAATTACCGTCAAAACTGGGGGACCATATAAACTGTAGGAATTAAAACAAGGACTAGAATTTCATGTCAGAAAATACATCAAGCCATCACATTGTATTTCACAAATATATTTAATTATTTCTCAAAAATTTAAAAAGACAAGCCTAGGCAGTTTGGATGCTCACCTTACTAGACCGGGATGGAGGTGGGTGGTCCTTGGACTTCCCACAGGGCAGGGAGGGTTGATTGCTCTTTGGGCTGACAAGGGAGGGGGACTTGACTGGGGGAGGGGGAGGGAAAGGGGAGGCGGGGGAGGGGAAGAGACAGAAATCTTTAATAAATAAATAAGACAATTAGAAGGATAAAATTTATCAATAACCTGAAGCATTATGTAGACATAAAAGTTATTATATACTGTGGTCCAAAATTAATACTATTTTATGTAGAATTTGTTTTAGCTAATATAACAACAAATTTTGCATATTTATAGAATAATTTATTAATTTTGCATCACTCAGATTAAAATATAGAGATGATTTAAGGCAGGGAAAGTTTATTTATCTACAGTTTGTTGGGGAATATTATATTAAGGTATTATTTTTGTTTATGTCACACTTGTTTTAAGTCTGTAAAGCTGTGCTGTACCTGTCTAGAACACCTGATGGTCTAATAAAGATCTGAACAGTCAATAGCGAGGCAGGAAAAAGGATAGGCCGGGCTGTCAGGCAGAGAGAAGATGTAGAGAAAATCTTGGAACAAAGGGAGGAGTAGCCAGAGAAGAAGGAGGACATCAGGGGCCAGCCATCCAGCTACACAGCAATCCACAGGGCAAGAGTAAGATTTACAGAAGTAAGAGAATGGGAAAAATCCATAGGCAAAAGGTAGACAAGATAACTTTTAAGTAAAAGCTGGCAAGCAACAAGCCAAGCTAAGGCTGAGCATTTTCACCTAAGAATAAGCTTCCATGTGACTCAGTTGCGAGCTGGGTGGCATTCCCCACTCCCCGAAAAGAGCCAAAGAGTTTAAAGCACCTTACTACAACACAGGTTCAGAACATTACCATCTATCCTGATAGGACTCTGGCTTTGGGATTGGGAGATAGCAAATTTACGCATGTGGGCAGACTAGGAAGCAGAGACAGCTGATCTGGAACCAGAGGTAGTTAAAATATTCATATTGTCTGCTCCTCGTGATTTTCTTCTGCTAGTAAAGACCCTCCTGCTAAAGTCTCTATGCCTTCAAAATACTGTTATAAACTGGGAACTGAGAATTCAAAATATAAGCCTGTGGGGGACAGTTCAGATTCAAACCATAGCAGGTGCCCTGTAACCCTGTGATGTCTTAGAATGTGTGTGCATTGTAATATGTTGAAATCAGGGTAAATAAACTAATCTCAAAGACATCATATGTTTATGTTGAAAATATAAAAGCCAATCAAGTTTTTATATATAGCCATTATTGTTTCTATAGTTATTTACATTTTTTAAAAAATATATATTCTAGCCGGGCGCTGGTGACACACGCCTTTAATCCCAGCACTCAGGAGGCAGAGGCAGGCAGATCTCTGTGAGTTTGAGACCAGCCTGGTCTACAAGAGCTAGTTCCAGGACAGGCTCCAAAACCACAGAGAAACCCTGTCTCGAAAAAACCACTATATATATATATATATATATATATATATATATATATTCTAGAAATTAAGCTCATATTTTCTGTTATTACCACATGTCAATGTATGGGGTAAATTGTATCAGATGTACATTCTCTATATTCATATTAATTCTAACTATGTTAGGTATGATAATTCATTTGAGAGGTTAAGGCTGAGATAGGAGGATTCTATACAGCCTCTATACAGCAAGTTGAAGACTAACAAGGATTATGTGGAGCCAGAACATGTGGTGTAGGAGGTCTTTCTGTCTTTGTGTTGCTTTCATTGGTTAATGAAGAAACTGCTTTGGGCTGGTTGATAGGGTAGAATTTAGGTAGGCAAGGAAGACAGAACTGAATGCTGGGAGAAAGAAGGGTGGAGTCAGAGAGATGCCATGGATCTGCTGGAGACAGACCTGAGAATTTTATCCAGTAAGCCACTGCCATGGGGCAATACACAAATTGATAGAAATGGTTTAAATTAAGATATAATAATTAGACAATAAGAAACTAGAGCTACTGGGCCAAGCAGGGATTTAATTAATACAATTTCTATGTGGTTATTTTGGGGGTAAGCTAGCCAAGCAGCCAGGACGAACAAGTGGCACCTTGCAACAATTGGTGCCCACATGGCCAACTAAATCCATGTAAAACCTGAGAGGGATTAAAAAGAAATTCTAAATGAAAAAAATAGAGAGTTTAACACAGCTTGCTGTTTGCTGGCTGCATGCTGCAGCTCCTTTAAGAGAGGTTTTTTTGACTCAGCAGCAGCAGCAGCAGAAAAAAAAAGCCATGCTGTTTTAAAATGCAGCTCCTTGGGCCATGTCACCAGCACAAACTCCAACTATGGAGCATTTCAATGGCATTTGTGGACCTGGGTGTTTGTGTGCCCACTCAGGGCTGGGAGGAAAGTTGCTGAGACCATGCCTGGGCTCAGTGATCCCTGCCTGGGCAGGTGGTGGGCATAAGCAGAAGAGCATGGAGGATTCCTACTGTCACACACAGAGATATTTCCAGGCCATGAAGTGTGCTGCATGGCAGATTTAGCTTTTACTCAGAAATAAGGGTTTATGTGCTGCATGGTGCTACCCGGAGGTTAGGGGGTGAAGATGGCTCCCACCTGGTGGTCCTAGAGCTGAAGTGAACTACCTCCACCATATTTAAATTCTGAGAGAGATGGAGCCAGCACCCAGGGTCACTGAAACCAAGCTGCTTAGCATTTTAAGAAATGCTTCTGATCAGAAAAGAAGTACAGATTCACAATAGAACAGATTCAGACATTAAAAGACCTATAAATAGGTCACAGTGTTGAATAAATGTATGTAGGCTTGGGAGAGAGAAGAAAAAGAGTATAGAGAGTCAAAAAATAAATTTAATGCTTTAAAAAATGGTAAAGTCTTTAAAGAGACAGTAAAGATAGTCATAGATTAAAAGGAGTAAAGAAAATAAGCCACATAAAAATGGAAAATTCACAGAGAGTCTGGATTATGTATATTATTGTGTTTTCTTTGAATTTTTTGACTGTGAAGGAGCTAAGTACAGCGAAACATTTCATTGTATGGGCTGCTAAACTAAACCAGCATGTATATTATAAAGGTATTATGACTTCAGAATTTGGGTCTAAGAACATGTTGCTTGGGAAAAGATGTTCTTCTTTTGTTTTCACAGAAAATGAGAACCTGTGGATTCCTTCCAGGCAAATATGGTTTCATGGACCAAGGCCTCCTGAAAGGTTGTTGTAAACACCCTCAAAAAATTACTTTGCCCAACTGCTGACTGAGATGGTCCTAGTGTACAAGACACACCATGAAATAACAGTGCCCCCAAACAACAGGAAGCAGTATGGACAAAACTACGTCCATATTTCCAAATATTGTTCATAGTTGTTTGTTTACATTTAAAGGGGTATATGCTATAAAGATAAATAATTTGCTTTGGTATAGATCTTTGTTTATTGATACAAATTTAAGGTTAATTTTGTTTTATGTATATTTCTGTTTTTTGATTAAAATTGTAATGTATAATTTAAATTTGTAATGTATAATTAAGAAATATAGGTTAATAGATAGTCATTTATAATAGTCAAGCTTATAGTCATGCTTTTTAGATTTTCTAGATGTATAGAGATATATTTCAGTTAGATAGATATTCTTCAAATCTTTCAGAGACCTTCAGAATATGGCATTTAAATGTTTTAATAACTTAGGGCTTTTCATGACCATGAGACACATCTTCTTTTGTTAAGACCAAGCTACTTCAAGAGGATAGTGGGCATTGAAGAGACTCCTTATGGAGCTGGTTAGCCATTGGGCAAGAAACTACTCTTGCCTGCTTCATGGACTATTTCATGGTATGCTGTAAAAACTGGACATGCAGAACTCAAAGAGAAATGACTGCTGAACTTGGCTAAAGGTGAGATGATCCTTCGGGGTTCCTGCTTCATGAAAGAGTCTGTGAGACATTCTGCAGTAAACAGAAGAAAGTGACTGGCAAACTGCCAGTATAGGCAGTCCAGTCTTTGAAATTTCCTGCTTCATGGAAAAATCTTCTGGACACTATGGGCATGTAAGCCGAAGATGGATGCCCCAATGGTACAGAAAAACTTTGGGAGACTGTCCAGGTAGCAAGATGTCTCTGTCATTTCTAGAGTTTTGGAAGTTGCTTGCAATGTACTTCCAGTTTACTTAGGTAATATTATATTTTTCTGGAGTCTATGATGGAGTTGAAGAGTTTATAGTTATAGTTTTCTTTGTTATGATAAAAGATAAAGTATATATAAATATTGTAACTGTAATTCTTGCTTGATAACTTTTGTTATTTGTAATTTTACTATGTTAAAGTCAAAGCCTTCCTTTTTGTTTAAACAGAAAAGGGGAAATGGTGAAGGAGATCCTTCTGTCTTTGTGTTGCTTTCATTGGTTAATAAAGAAACTACTTTGGGCTGGTTGATTGGGCAGAAATGAATGCGGGGAGAAAGAAGAGCAGAGTCAGAGAGATCTGCTGGGGACAGACGCTGGAAATTTTACCCGGTAAGCCAATGCCATGTGGCAATACACAGATTAATAGAAATGGGTTATATTAAAATGTAAGAATTAGCCAATAAGAAACTAGAGCTAACGGGCCAAGTGGTGATTTAATTAATACAGTTTCTTTGTGGTTATTTTGGTGCTGAGATAGCCAGGCAGCCGGGATGAACAAACAACTCCTTGCAACAAATATGTCTCAAAAATGCTTTCCACTTAAAGAGTATGTGAAAAATTTCCTTTTGGTTCTAATAAAAATGGGTCATTGTGACTTTTTCAAGGGAAAGAGTCATAGAATGATGACAGCATATGAAGGTTCCGAGCAGTCTGAGGAGCTGCTTGGAGGTAAGATACTCTGGAAAAAAAGACATAATATAGATGGCCCTTCTTGAGAAGTTTGTGGTAAAAGGAAAGGACAGAAAAGATTAGACAAAGGATTTCTATGTAGTTCAGAGAAATGTAACCATGATTAATTTCCAAAGGAAGGATTCCCTAGAAAAAGACATTAAAGATTGAGGGACTTCTTGGTATATTGAGGGCATGAGGTTACAAAACAGGAAGATGGGGAAAATCTCAGACTGGAAAATAAAGGAAATATCAGTATGATTGGAAGAAGTGTACACACAGCCTAAGATATGTGTAAGTTTGTCAGCTAGACCCCTACAGCTTCAGCTTAGTCAGTTTCCCCATGCAGTACTGAGGAAGTTGTAAGGGAACTTGAATGTGTAGGAGGGTGAGGGTTTGATTCCTCTGCTCTTGACTGTGGATGTAAACATCTGCTTGACTTCCTGGCAGTGATGGGCTATAACAGGAACTCTTTCCTACCCATTGTTTTTACCAGAGTATTTTATCACAGCAGCAGAAAGAGGAATTAAACGTGGAAATGACAAAAAGTAAAAATTCAGAACGTATCAAATAGGCTTAAGGTAAATTCAGTGACTTGATAGACTAACACCTTTTGCCATGTTAATGTCAAATTTTTGTATTTATAGTTGCACCAAAATAGTATGTTCTGTGTTTTTTCATCAGGTATCATAAGACCAGCAATAGCTATGGCATGGTAGTGATAACATTCTTCCTAAGTTGAAGTTTTACAAGGTATGTAAGATAAAAGGAAAAGAATTTTTCAGTAATACCAATGGAATTATTGAGATCACAGACTGTGAAATTGAGTATTGATGTGGGATCAGGAAGAAGGAGCTTGGATAATGGGTACCAAAGTTACACTGGAAGAATCAGTTCTTATATTCTATAGCAGAATATAATCCTAATATATTCTATATTAATATTGTGACTATAATTCACAATATTTTATATATATTATAATGAACTTAGGAAAGAGAAATCTGAAGCTTCTCAAGATAGAAATGGTAAATGCTGAGATGGTTAAAATGCTTGACTTAAACCTAACACATACTCTCCTGTAAATGTTTGTACTTTGTATGTTAATCTAAAAGAACAATTTTCACAGAAGTCAAATTGTAGAACCTGCCCAGATGCCCATCATCATATGAATGGATAAAGAAAATGTGGCATATATAGACAAGTGAAATTTTTATTTTTGAGACAGGGTTTCATATAGCTCAGGCTTGTGTCAAACTCACTGTGTAGCTGAGGATGCCTTAAATTTTTTTTCCAGCCCTTCATTTTTTTTTATTGAGAATAAGAAAAAAAAAGATTCCGCCTCCTCCCAGCCTGCCATTTCCCTCCCCCTCCCCCCACTCTTCTCCCCCTCCCCCCTCTCTTCTCCCCCTCCCCCCACTCCTCTCCCCCTCCCTCTCCTATCCAAAGAGCAGTCATGGTTCCCTGCCCTGTGGAAAGTCCAAGGTCCTCCCCCCTCCGTCCATGTCTAGGAAGG